TTTATTAATATAATTAATTAAGTCTCCATAAGTTAAGTTTTGATAAGGAATTGTATTATTAAAATTTCTCTTAATTTTTGTCTAATTCTTTCGGCAAAAAGTTTTGGAAAGTCCAGCAATAAAAACGTTCTTTCCAATAAGATTCTTTACAATCTGGTCTTGAAAAAAACTTTAACGAATAATTATCTTTGTACCATCTGAAATCAGTTAATTTTCTACAATGTAAGTTCATTAGAATTTCAGAAGTTCTTTCTTGAAAAGTAGTAGGATCTCTAAAAGTTTTGATTTAAGCAAAAATTTAAAGTATTAACCATATCATCCTCTTGAGTTTGAATTGGTAAATTATTTTCCTTCTGGTGTATTATGAAAATCCCACCAACCTTTAAGAGTACCAGTAAACCCAGAAATAATAATATTAACAATTTGAAGTTGAGTATTATTATGAGACTTGTAAGCATTAGCTGCCATGGTCATTTCTTGAACAATATTAAGAATTTGATGTTCAGAGTTACCATCGATATTCCATTCGTAAACAGAAGTACCATCGTAAGCTGAACGATCATATTGAAAAGCTCTTTCTTCAATTTGAACATCAGGAAGAGAAGGTCTATTCCAATAATTTTTAATAGTTGGTTTTGGATTATTACCAAAATAATTAATCTTATTTAATCTTGAAAATTCATTTGTAAGCTGATTTATATCATCATTGTCATTTATGAATTGTTGAGTAAGATTGTCTAAATTTAATTCACTTTCATTATTACTTTCATCAGATTCGTCAAGAGAGTCATTATTTGTTCTTAACATATTTATAGATACATTTTTTGAAATACGGAAATTAGTAAGTCTTTTTTCTAATTCATCAATTAAATCTTTATTTCCAAGATTAAAATTTCCATTTATTTGATGAGGAATAAAGCTGACATTACTAGAACTTGCTATATTATTATAAAAAAATTTTGTTTTGATTTTATTTTCTTTTGATAATTGTAAATTTATAGTATTTTCTTCAATCCTATTTAGTTGATCTGAAATAGTTAAAAGAGTTTCATTTGAGTAATTATTTTGATAAATAATGTTTTGAAAACATTTTTCATTTGTTATCTGACTCGGAACTTTAACTAAAGGAGTTGCAATAAAATTATTATCAATAATGATTTCCTTTTTTGGAGGGTATTCAGAAATAATTTCTTGATAGTAAAACATCCTTGTATGTTTTTTGAAGAAACGGAAAAATAGTTTGCATTTTAAAAGGATAACTCTATATTATGTTTAGGAGCATAAATAAATTCGAACCATTGAAAAACGGAGAGTGAATTTGATTTGATAAAACATAATCTTCCCAAAGTCCAAAATGTAAAAATCTTATATAATATGAAAAGTTTTCTTCATGCCAAATTCTTTTTTGTATTATTATAATCTTATAATATTCTTCTTCTTTAATAATCAAAATTAACATATGATGGTATTTTAGAAATATCTATATTAATATTCATTTTAACAAGTTGATTGATTTAATCTAAAGATATATTTTTAATAATACTAAGTTGAGCACTAATAACAATATTTTTATTTTTAATCATTTTTGATAAACAATATATTATTCCTTTTGAATATTATATTATATGTGTCTTTTTCAGTATTAATTAATTTAATTTCTTCGTCTTCTTTGAGTTGTTTAATTCTATTTATTTCTTTAGAATGCTTGCAATAATTTGCCATCTGGTCTTTAATAAATTATTCCAAAATTTTTATTATTACTACAACTAATCTGTCTTTTAGAACTCATTAACACGTATATTTAGATAAATTTGTTAAATAATTATCAAGATGTATATTAAAGGTTTTTAATACTGCTTTTATGTTATTAATTTCTTGTTCTAATTCTAATAGTTCTTTATCATTATTTATATTTTTTAATTCTAATATCTTTTCTTGTAAGAGTTTTTTAAATATTTTTATTGAATTTCTTAATCTCTTAATAGCAGTAACTCTATTTCTATTTAAAGAATTACAATTTATTTGAACTTTATTAGTCATAATTGTTGTCTATAATTTTGAAGTTCATTAATAAAATCAGATTTAGTAGGACTTGGTAAACTTGTATCACTAGTTTGGTCTTCTTGATAAAGAGGTTTAGGAATAGGACTAGAATAGTCAACAGTTTTTAAATTTAAAGACTTTGATTTTGAAAGCGAAAATTAGAAGTACCAATTTCAGGAATAGAACTAGTAGAAAATCTAGATGAAGAAAATTTGTAGAAGAAAAGTTTATATCAACTGAGCCATCATTATGCTCAATTATATTTGAAATTTGTTTTGAAGAATCTAAAGATTTTGGTTCAATAACATTTTGTAAATTCCAATTACATGATTGAGTAATTTTGACCATTTAAGTCGTTTAGGCATATGAACTTTTGTATGATTAGTATTGCTTCGTAAATAATTGTTTCATTTCTTGGATTTGACAAACGGGTTTTTGGTTCTAAGGTAGTTGTCATGGTTTTATAACAACACGATAAATAATTGCTAAAGGTTTAGAGTTATTTTTAAATTCTAAATTCTTTGTTTCAACAGTTAAAACCAAAGTGTCTAAAATATTTTGTCAAATAATCCTACGGAAAAATTTGGATAACAATTAAAATAAATTGGTCCATTGCGATATTTGTTTCTGCCATAGCTAAAATAGAATTTTGAAATCTGTATGTTTTATCTCTTAATATTAAGAGAACAGGAGCATCAACACCAATTCTAAAAAGAGGTTTGATAGCAATTTGAACAAGACCTAAATGAAGAAATTTATATTTTTGTCTATGTTCGAAAATAGATCTTGATGATAACAAATTTATATTTTGTTGGTTTTGACCAATGGATAGGGTTTGTTCAGTCATTTTAATTGAGTAACTTTGAAAATAATCAAAAGTCCCTATTCTATAAATTGTGTTTATATTGGTTTTAGGTATAGTCCAATCATTTAAATTTTGTTCTATATTATCAATAGTTTCTTCAATAGAGTTTATATGATTATCATCATAATCTTGTTCTTTTTCATAATATTTTTACCAGTATCATATTTTTTAGATAATATGCGTGAAAATCTACTCATATTTGATTAATTTTAGTTTAAAGATTTTATAAGAAAACTTATTGCTAAAATAATTAATTCACTTTCATAATATAGATTATCCTTTTAAAATGCAAACTATTTTTCCTGTTTCTTCAAAAACATACAAGGATGTTATTACTAATCAAGAAATTATTTCTGAATACCCTCCAAAAAAGGAAATCATTATTGATAATAATTTTATTGCAACTCCTTTAGTTAAAGTTCCGAGTCAGATAACAAATGAAAAATGTTTTCAAAACATTATTTATCAAAATAATTACTCAAATGAAACTCTTTTAACTATTTCAGATCAACTAAATAGGATTGAAGAAAATACTATAAATTTACAATTATCAAAAGAAAATAAAATCAAAACAAAAAATTTTTATAATAATATAGCAAGTTCTAGTAATGTCAGCTTTATTCCTCATCAAATAAATGGAAATTTTAATCTTGGAAATAAAGATTTAATTGATGAATTAGAAAAAAGACTTACTAATTTCCGTATTTTAAAAAATGTATCTATAAATATGTTAAGAACAATAAGGACTCTTGACGAATCTGGATGAAAGTAATAATGAAAGTGAATTAAATTTAGACAATCTTACTCAACAATTCATAAATGACATGATGATATAAATCAGCTTACAAATGAATTTTCAAGATTAAATAAGATTAATTATTTTGGTAACAATTCATATATATATATATATATATATATATTATTGCTAAAATAGAATTTCTTATATATATATAAGATATATATATATATATATATATATATATATCTATTATATATATATATATTATTGCTAAAATAATGAAACGTAAACGTCTAAACAAATTTGGATTGAAGTACAATACGCAATTAAGTAAAGAAATAGTTAAAACTTTGCATCTAATAAGGAATTAATGTTCTATGTTAAAAGCAATAAACAAGTACTCCAAGTTGAAATAAGCAAAATACATTTTATTGCAATCTTCCATTAACAACACTTCGAAATTCTTATTGTAAAATTCCATTTCATAATATTTATTGGTTTGTTCAGCGGCTGAACTAAAAACTTGTATTAGGGGTAACACAAGGACATTCTTGATAAATGATAATAAGTATTATTTTTCTTTTAAAAAATATGATTGCATTAGATATATCAAACTAGTCCAAAAGTTTTATATTTTAAAGTTGACATCTTCGTTTATCTATTTTTCGAATACACTCCACCACTTTTATCACTACTATCATTGCGAAACATCAAATTTTCTTTTAAAAGGATTTCCAATAAAACCCGACAAACAAAATAACTAATTAGCTAATTTTTTATTGTAATTTGAACAACCAAATTAAACTAAAATAAAAAAAACATTAAAAGGCGAAAGAATAGTTCGCTTTGTGTTCCCTGCGTAGCTGCGTGGATATATATCTTTGTTCCCATTAAAAGGAGCTGCCTACTTTTCCTAACATGCACTTCAGAGGATACAAGTTTTGAAAAACATCATATGAAGTCGAAGATTTAGAAACTAAAGAAGTCATAGAGCAACAACTTATGGACTTGAATGATGTGAGAAACATAAGTGATATATTGATTGTGTCTTTATCTTTATCTTATAATGTCTGCTTAGTCTTTTTCTAATAAAAATTTAGTCGCATCTCGTGTTGCATATCTTGTAAAAAAACAAAAAGGGCTTGGTGAAAAGGTAAAGCGTTAAAAGTCTGAGGGGATAACTTAACCTTTAAGATATTCGTCCTATCACAACTTTGCTTTCTCGGAAAGAGTTAGAGTTCGTCTTAAACACGCAATCAGCACCCATTTTTAACCACCACCTATAAATATGTCGCAAGTGTAGTGTTGATTCATTGTAGCTGATATAGCGGAAGAAATACCCGATTTAAAAAGATGCCAGTTTCCCTTTCTGTACGACCAATGGTTACTTCGACATTGTTGTGTCTCGTGCTGCTGCATGTTGTTGGTGTTCTTGGGTTTCCGGTGACTCTAAAGCTGGAAAGATCGTTTCCCACTAACCATGACGTTGAGTTGAAACAACATACGGAAAGAGATGGTTTAAGACATCGTAGAATACTACACAAGTATTCTGATCCAAATGTGGTTGTTGGATTTCGAGTATTAGGAACGTACGATCCTTTTGATGCTGGGTATGTACACCAACTTTTGTTTCATAAACACAAAATCTGGGACAAAAATAGTCGGGGGTATTTTGGGAAAAACTGCCATATTTTAAGTTCTTGGTATTGGTTTATGATTCTATTTGTCAATAACCGTATTGCATTAGGTTTCTTTAATGATTGGTATAAATTGGATTAATCTCTTAGTTGTTTTTTCAATTCTAGTTCACGTTTTGCTTTATAGTTTTTGATGAACAAAGACATGCACTTGTTCTATTCTTGCATATGTTTTAGTTATACTTGAAAGACTTTGTGAACAAGTCAATTTTTTCAGTTCTTAGTCACTTGTTCTTCAATTCCTTAACATCTTGTAATTTGGTTAACTTGTAGCTTGTACTACACAAAAATCAAGCTAGGATTCACCCCAAAAGAATACTATGTAGTAATTGATACAGGAAGCGACTTGTTGTGGGTAGGTTGCAAACCCTGCCAATCTTGCCCTACATCATCCACACTACAAGTATGTTCTGATCATTTCTTATAAGGTGTGACTTTTTTTAATTAACTAGTATTGGTACTATATGTATGATTTTTCTTTCTTTGAACAGATTCCTATTACTATTTATGATCCTGCAAGCTCCTCCACATCTTCTCCAATCTTATGTTCGGAAGAAAGATGTTCTCCAACATCCAACTCATGTTCAGATAACCAATGCACCTACGATCTCCACTATGAAGATGGTAGTGGAACATCAGGTTATTATGTATACGACTTGATGCATTTTAAAATAGTTGTTTGGCGAGTCAGATTTCTTCAGCTTCGGTTTTATTTGGGTAAGTTCTCATTTATCATCAACTATAGAATTTCATTTCTCTTCCTTCTTTCATTCTTTTTAAATAAAATGGCTGATTTAGTGAATTATGCATGAACAACTGTAGCACGTCCGAAACAGGACTGCTGAGTCAAACTGACAAAACAGTTGATGGGATTATGGGATTGGGCAGACAAAGTATGTTTGTGATTTTCCAGCTTTCGTCTCAAGGGATTGCACCCAATTCCTTTTCACATTGTTTGGCTGGTGGTGATGGAGGTGGGATTTTGGCTTTTAGTACACCCATCATGCCAGATGTAGTCTTCACTCCACTTGTCAAATCAGCGTAAGTTTTTATTTTATTTTTATTTATTTATTATGTCAAAAGGAAACATGTATATATCTTTTACCATACTAAATCAAAAGAAACACCATTTGTTTCTAATTTCCTTTCATATACATTTGTAGGTGGCATTACAATGTAAATTTGGAAAGCATATCGGTCAATGTTCAAACATTGACAATTGATCCTTCCGTATTTGCATTAAGTGATCACCAAGCATTAAGTGATCACCAAGCGGGAACAATAATTGATTCCGGAACAACTTTGGTATACATTACTGAAGAGGCTTACACCCCCGTTGTGGATGTTGTAAGTACAATATCAAACCATAACTTAACTAATGGTTTTTTAATCTAAATGTTACTTTTACTGGTTTTTAATCTAAATGTTACTTTTACTGGTGCAGATCAAACAGGCAGATTCAAACTTCATCCAGGCACTTATGTCAAGTGAAAATCTTTGTTATTCATTCAATTTATGGTTTGTGTCCAAAATAATCTGCGTGCTCTGTTTTATTATTCGATATGGTAAATGATAATATTTTTATTTTTTTTAATAATTATCTTCTATTGTTCTTTCAGTTATTTTTATACCGTCATATTTCCCATAGTACGGTTCAATTTTGCTGGTGGTGCTTCAATGCACTTTAAACCCCAAGACTATCTTATACGCCAATTCTCCACGGTATGTATTACGACTTTATAACTTCTCCATTCTTGTGTAACAAATGTAGTCTAATTAACTTGTATTTACATGACTCTTAATTTGGTTGTTAAAACACAATAGAATGGATCTCAGATATGGTGTACGGGTATTCAGACGAGCCCGGAGCGAGGATTGACTATTTTAGTAGGTATGAATTTTAACCATGGAAACATGAAAACCCTATAAATTGGATTTCTTATTTCGCTTTTCTTGACTTTTAATTTTTTATTTGGTGATTTAGAACTAGCACTTAAAGACAAGACTGTCGTATATGATTCGGATGGTCAACAAATCGGGTGGGCAGAGTCTAACTGTAAGTTTATAAAGAAGAAAATCAATAAGTTATAGTTAATATAAAATATAATAAAATATTAAATTATGTTTTTATTCATTGCAGGTTATCAAAATTTTAATATCTATGGCAGCAGAAACATCAGTCATATTATTGGCGGCGGGTGTAGATTTCGTCCTTCTGTTAGCATATTATTTGTATATATATTTGTATTATTTTTTATAGTCGGACCTAAGTGTTTGGCCCTTTACTAATTATTCTTTCATCTTGTATATATTGTGTATATCGAGGGTATCTTTTGAAGTATCGATTCATAGGAAAATATAGACGATTTCATGGTAGTAGAGCTTCCTACTTTCTAGGATCGTTCTAAAACCCTAGTCAACGGCTCCATTCCGGTTGATCATCTTCTCCCATATTGATATCCTTCTTATTTTCTTCTTTTTGATATTTCAGTCTCAATCTCATTACCCTCATAATGTCAAAAATATATCCGACAAACCCTTATCTACAACCAAAATAAAACATGTTCCATTCGTGTTAGATTTGGAACACGTGAACTATGATATATGGCGAGAACATTTTGAGATTCATTGCATCGAATATAGAGTTGATCACCATCTCAAACCTCATACTCAATCACCTCCGGCCGACAAAAGCAAAGACAAGGTTGTTGACCACATTTGCTTTGCAGTCTTTGGCAAAATGGTTCTCCTTGTTGCATTTGTGGCAGATTACAACATCACTTTTATCTTCTGAAGTAGTATCGGAGTCGGTTGGTTTGATGGACTGCGGTGCCTCCTTGGGTTGAGAATTCTGAGGCTGCGGTGGTGGGTGAGTGTTTTTAGTGAAACGGGAATGATTGTTTTGGGAGTTGAAGTTGCGGTTGAAGGGAGGTTTGTTATACTGCTGATTCTTTTGGAAAGAAGAGGGTGGCAGCCGGTTAAACTGTTGGCTAACGAGAGCGATTGCATTCTGAAATTCTTATTCGTCATCATACTCTGAGTCTGCTTCATATGACTGCGGTGGAGAGTCATACGAGGTGGGGTATGATTGAGTGTGAGGAGCTTGAGCAACAAGAGCTAGTGGACCACCAAAATCTGCACAGTCTTTGAGTACGGTAGACTCTTGGGCTTGTAGTTCTCCATATAGCTTGTAGAGAGATAAAGAGTGGATTTTCCTGTCACCCTGATCAATCATTTTGGCGGTTGTCCAGTGTCTTCCTAAACCATTTAGAAACTGAAGATTTGTTTCATGGTTGCTTCGAACCGTGCCAGCATTGGATAGCTTAGTGACTATAAGATTAAACCTCTTAAAGGAGTCTTCCAAACTTTCACTCGCATGAGCTTTGAAGTTATTGAACTCATTGAGTGCACTAGTAAGTTTTTTGTCATGAGCTTGTTCAGTTCCTTCATACAGATTTTTAAGGACATCCCAGATCTCTTTTGCAGATTGACAATTTATGATAATGTCGAAGTTGTCAGGAGCAACTCCACAAGAGATCTCATAAAAGGCAATAGCGTCATTTTCCATTTTGTCGAGATCGTCTTTGGTGGGACGATTTAAAGCTGGTTAACCTCCTCCTAGTCTGGCTGTGGCACCGTCGGCTTGAACTGGTGCAAGAACAGGGACATGAGGTCCTTCTTCAACGGATCTCCATACGTCTCTTCCAAGTCTCCTTAAATATCTCTTCATCCTTTGAGACCAGTGATGGTATTCATTTGCCACCATTATTGGTGCTCTATTCGGACCACCAACACTGTTGGAAACGTTGAGAGATAATGCTTGTGCCATATTTCCTTGTTTTGAAAAGTTTTTTTTTTTTTGTTTTGAAGAGATGAGCTTCAGTGGTATAGAAAGCTTTTTGAAAATCAGAGTTTTGCTTCAAAAGGCAACCACTTTGGCTCTGATACCAATTGTTGAGAGAAAAACTTGAGAAACACACTTGAACAAACGTTAGAACAAGTATAGATTGTAGAATTAAAGTTTATCTCAAAGGATCTTATAGCTCAACAATAATAATAAGTTAGAGTTAGAAAGTTAGATAATTAGGTGCGGAAATATAATGAAATATAAATGACAGCATGTATTATATCAAGTATACACTTAAGTTGATTCTTAACAAGGAATGCACTCAAACCAAGTTAGTTAGTGAGATCAAACTTAGTGATTAAGTCAAGAGATGACTTGCTCCGAAGGAGAGATTATATTCCAGATTATATTTAGAAGAGTTTAGAGTAAGACGAAGATGAAAGATAACAAGAGATATGAAATTCAAGATGAGTAAGAGAGATGTAAGAGATGTGTGTTTCAATCTGAAAATGAGAACTCCTTTTATAGAGTCTCAGTGGTTACAAGGGTCCTATCTGTTTAACGATGCCATGGAAGGCACATTGGATAAAGGAAAGTACATTACAAGTAAACAGATAAAAAGACTAAGATAAAATATTGAACGCTATGACTGCGGTCCGGATGTTGAGTTCGGATGAGTCTGAATGCAGATAGACTTCAGATCAAGAGATGGTTGCTGTTGGAAGAAATTTAAGAGGGTCACTTTTTATGTTCCAACATAGACGGTGGATCGGTGGAGGGTTAACAGCAATCCAATGTTGATAGGGCGGAAAAACGGTGAAACAAAGATACGACCAACACGTGTCCATCAAGAATTGACAAAATGTCATAAACTGCCAAAAAAAATAGTCAGCAACAAATCTAGAAGATAACAAACCACGAAAAACAAAGGACCGGATCTGCCCAAAAACAACGAAATTTAGTATAAATATTTATATTTTACTAACTTTGGACATATATAAATATATATACTTATTTTGTATATATAACTAACTCTAAGTGGGTTTGTGTTCTCCTCCACGAGGACTTCGAAATGATATATTATATGTCCAAAATGGAGTATATGTGAATGAGATATCGATACTTAAAGAAGGGTATTTGAAAATAAATTTAGCAAAAATAGATGAATGTGGGAATGAGTCCCACATTGTTAGAAAGATCAAACTCAACAAGGTTTATAAGCTTGAATGCATGAAAGGCTTACAAGCTTGTGTCTATGGTTTTACCACAATTCCTACCCGCGCGCAGGGGGTTGTAAATCTTGGATTTCGTAGACCAAAAGCACCGAACTTGTGTCTATGGTTTTACTACTATATATGCGACTATCACTGGAGATTTTAGCCATCGCCATCTACAAATCTCTTTCCTCTTCAAGCATCTAAATATTAGTGGTTATGTCATAACATTCAGTGACAAGTCTATGGCGGTCAACCTAAATCTAGGTAACGGGGGATGGGATGGGGAGGAGGGAACGACACCTTTATGATTAATTGAAATATTTTGGTGGTACTCATGAATCTTCAATTGGATAAGACTCAAAATGAAAGAGAAACTAGAACAGAGAATGACTGTTATGAATTTTGGTGATGTCACACCCCCGAACCAGAACGGCGGAAACGTAATGATTGCTATGAATTTTGGTGATGTCACACCCCCGAACCAGAACGGCGGAAACGTCCGGGGGCGGGTGACTTCATTTTGTAATATCATCACAGTGTATATAAATAAATCAATGACAACATCATCATCGTACATAAATTATAACAACCATCATTGTTTACATCAAAGTATTGTATCACAAATTACATCCCAAAATATTAAGTGTATGATAACAACAAAAGTACAGCAAAAGTCCACATTGTTCTTAACGACTGACCTGCTTAACAAATTCCTGAGAATACAAGTTATTTTAAAAACGTCAACATATATAATGTTCGTATAACCTGTTCCTGAGAATGTATAGTTTGTATCAAAAGTATAGTATATGTATTCCATAAACTTATTATGTTTGTTAATCTCTATGTGAGTCGTTATAACCATACTTGATATGACTGTTATGCCTGTCATGCCGTTCTTCAGGCGTCGCTGTTAGGTAAGATATTTGTCACCCTAGACTGGCCTAGTCTAGCTGTAGCGAACAACTCAAGTGTGGGGTTGACAACCCCGTATAGATCTATACACAAACTCTCGCTCTCCCTTCAGGAGACTCTATTTTATAACTACAGGACTTAGGGTGTACACTAGGTAGGTACGAATGAAGGCGTGTCTCACAAGAGCCTTAACTAAGTTTACGCGAATATTGTATCACATCATTCAACGCTTTAAATAATGTCTATGTATGTATTTTGAATACAAAGCATCGGTGATAAAAATATATTTGTTCATATCAAAATGTCATATATTTAATGTTATCGACCTGGTTAACTTGGAATGTGTCGTATAGGCCCAATAAGGAAGTAAATGGGTATTTAAGGCCCATTAACATGAAATGAGAATACAAGGCCCAATAAAGCATGTAATGAGTATTCAAGGCCCACTAAGCATGTAAATGAGTATGTGAGGCCCAATAAACATGTAATGAGTGTACAAGGCCCAATAAGCGTATAAATGGGTATTTAAGGCCCATCTTTGTTAAAAATGACATTTTTGGCCCATTAAGCCGAGAATTTACAATGAAGGCCCAATTTTGAATAAAAATGACATTTTTGGCCCATTAAACCGAAAATTTACAATAAATACCCAACTTTAGATAAAATGACATTTTTAGCCCATTTAGCCGAGAATTTACACATAAGGCCCATTTTTGTTATAAATGACAATTTAAGTCCATTAAGGCCAAAAATTACATTTTAGGCCCATGAAACCGTGAATTTCCAAATAAGGCCCCCTTTTATGAAAAATGACCATTATAGCTCAGTAAAAACCGAGAAGGCCCAAAAGAAGCCCATTTTGTCAAAAATAACACTTTGGACCTCCATAAAACCGTGAATGTCATAAAAACCCATTTTATCCAAAAATGACTCTTTTGGCCCCTCTAAAACTGTGAGTATCATAAAAAGGCACACTTTTTGCTTATTTGTCGAATATGGCCCCTCATTAGGTTTTCTTTAGTTTTAAAGTATCCTTTAACATGTTTAATCTTTTCAACATCATAATGAGTTACTTAAAGTAGCTTGTTTTCCTAATATCTTCAAGACTTGGAAGA